AAATTACAGACACAGTGAGGGTTGTAGTTGTTGACACTACTTAAGGAATAGCATTAATCATCTCATAGTCACAAATTCTACCAGTTAGTGTCCTGATTTCTGTCATTAACGTGTTGAGTATGCTTAAAAAGCTTTTTGTAAGGATCTAGTAGTCTCGGAGATGAGATCGCAGTGACAAAGGTAGTAGAGGCCACGGGGAGGGGGATGTATGGTGCGCGCACGCACAGCGCGGGCAGCGACGCGAGACGGCGCGCCCGCCTGACCTCGTTCCCACGGCGGAGCTCATCGCCGCCGCGACCTCTGCCCCACGCCGACACAACCTGACACCATACGATCCTAGATGATGCTGACAGATCTAACTTTACACCACCTTTTTATGACATTAACCTTACGCTATCAGTAAGAAAGTCCATCACCCTTAGTGTATGTATATTGTGTGTAGCACTAAAACACTCCCTAAGACTTAGTTTAAATTTAAGGTATATAGGTACGAACTTCTTATACCACAAAAATGCAAACGGTGTAATTTAGCGGTGAAATATCTTCGTCCATAGCTTAGACTATAAAAACAAGTAACAAGTCACCCGTTTCAATTATAGAGGTCTTACTAGCTGAGTCATTCAATGAAGCGTTATCTCGAAATTAATAAATAGAGCGTTACACTTTAACGTCAATGGAGAGGTTACAGGACGGATTAGCGGAGGTCGCCGGGCGCGGGGTCGATGAACTCTCTAGTAACAGATATGATTGAAACTCGGGAGATGTTTCATTCCTTGTGTATTAAGAGAATTTGTTGAGTTTCATTAGAAACTAATGTTTGCAGTCTGAGGTCATTTGTGTCAGAGTAATCAGCTGTTGTCAATGTCCTTCTTGAGTATTCACTTTTTTCTGACATTCCATGTAACGTTTTACTTAAATTTTCAAATATTTTTTAGAAATTAATTATGATAAGTAGTAACGTAGATTGGTTTTAAAGTAGGTAATACCGTCTTCGGTTCATTTGAGTGATTCACAAGTGTGGTGAGACGGTGTGGCGGAGGTACGGGCGGGGGG